AAGCGAGCGGGCGTTGAGCGCAGGGCCGTAGGAAGAGCGAGGGAGAGTGCGAGGGAGTGGGAGGAGCGCCTCGGAGACGACGCCGAGCGCGCCGAGCCCCACCCTGGCCAGGCGGAAGAGGCGCGGGTTGTCTGCCTCGGAGAGGCAGATCTCGCCCAGCGCGGGCGTGATCAGTCGCATGCTCACCACCTGCTCGTCCACCGGAGGGATCGCGGCGCCCGTGCCGTGTGCTCCGACCTGGACAAAGCCGCCGATCTGCTGCTCGGCGATGGAGGCGTAGTTTTGCAGCGTCAGGCCGTGAGGGCGGAGCGCCTCCACCACCTCGCTGACGCGCGCACCCGCCTGCACCGTCACCTGCCGCCGCTCGGGGTCGACAGAGAGGATCTTGGAGCACTGGGCCATGTTGATCATCGCACCGTCTGACAAGCCAATCCCGTTGGGAGAGAGCGCCGAGCCGACGACGCGAAGCTTCTGCCCCGCCGCGTGCATGAAGGCGATGACCTGCCCGACTGCATCCGTCGAGTCCGGCTCAAAGTAGAGCGACGGCATCGCCGAGTGCGTCGCCGACCAGTTGGAGATCTCCTCGTCAGCGGAGCCACCGAGTGCCTCGCCACCCGAGAGGAGCTCGGCGACGGAGCGGTGGCGCGACAGGAGCGCCGCCGTGCCGCTCGCGACGGCGATGCGTGTCCGTGCTAGCATTCCTGTGCCTAGAGCATTCACCAAGAACCAGACCGTTTTGAGTAACCGGACGAGCCGCCGGTGGCATCTCTTTCCACCCAAGAAGCCCGTTTGGAGGGATGGGCGGCAGTGTGCGGGCGGTGAAGTGCTAGTCCTCTCATCAATTTAGAACGAAACGCCCCTCCCTCCCTTCTTCCCTCTATCCCTTTTGCTCTCTAACCTAGACACAGACAGACTGTTCACCAACCAATCCTCTACCCCTCCCTCTCTCCCCATCCTAGACTCCCTCCACGCGTCCGATCTGGCCAGCCTGCGGCAAACATACTCGCGCGGGAGCATTTCACTCTAGCTGAGGGGCTCGCTAAACGCCCGCCGAGCTCCATGCTGTGCAACACCTCCTCACTAATCGTCAGGGGCGCGGAGAGCGCAGTGCACTGCGGTGAGGCTGCGCAGCGGGGGCTCGCCCCCTGCACCGCGCTCAGCGGCGCAGGCGGGAGGGCGGTCGGTGGCGGCGGCGGCGAGGCGCGAGGCGGTGGCGGCGGTGGTGCGGGCGGCGGGATGACAGGGGAGGCGGCGGGATTGACAGGGGAGGCGGCGGCCACGAGCGGAGCGGCGCGAGAAGGGGGGGGGGGCGGCGGCGAGGCGCCAGTGAGCGAGGCGCCCGCGCCATATCAGAGAGGGACGCGCCGCTGCGAGATGGAGGGCGGCGGTGACGGAGGCGAGGCGCGAGGCGGCGGCGGCGGCGGCGGCGGCGGCGGCGGCGGCGGCGGCGGCGGCGGCGAGAACGGCGGCACCGAGTCTCGGTGAGAGGCGGCGGGAGGAGGAGCAGCGGCGGCGCTCGCTCGCTGTTGGCGGGAGCGCTTTTGAGCCTGGGAGCCCATGCCACTGCGACCGGCGTGCCCGGGAACGGAGATCGCGCGCGCGCCGCCACTCACGACGCGCGCGCGATCTTCGCGGAGTCGGGTCCCCAGAGGGAAGCGGTCTTCTCGGCCGACGTCCAGCGGCGCGCAAGGAAGCAGGCGCAGCGGAGGCGGCCTAGCACCGGCTCGGCGCCGGGCGGTTGCGCTGCCCGCGAGCCGCGTCCTGAGCCTCGGCAGCGCGCTGCGCGGCGCGGCGCTCGCGCTGCTTCTGTGCCGAGAGCGGCATGATTCGCCAGCTGAAGCTCGAGACTCCTCGGGTATCACGAGTTCTGGGGGTCACGATTTGCGCAGGTTGAGCGGAAATTGGCGTAAGCGTCTGAAAGCAGTCTTGGGTGGTAAAGACTTGTAGTTCTTGGTTTTTTCGCGGTTTCCTCTTCTTTCTCCCACGAGCCTCCGTCGTGTTCATGGTTGGGAGTTGTGGGTGTTTGGCGGGCCAGGATTTTAGATGCTGCTCATGTTGCTGGCGCCCGCCAGGGCGCACGGCATACGCCGACTCGCTGATGAGGCGGGTGACTGCTACGTCGGAGACGGCTCCACCTACACCGGCAATGTGTCGGTCACCGCCAACGGCACCGCCTGCCAGCCGTGGGCCGAAGATACGCCTCACACACACACACACCACCACGACTTGCCGTCCAACTACTGCCGCAACCCTGATGGAGAGCCCGCGCCGTGGTGCTACACCGTCTCGCCCGACGTGCGGTGGGAGCTCTGCGACATTCCTCAGTGCGTGTCAGAGGCGGGTGCGGGCAATGGAAACACCTCGCAGTCTGATGGGGCAGCCCACGTGGGCGGTGAGAGCAGCGCGACAGTATGCACCAACACATGCAGTCACCCGTACGACAACGAGTGCGACGATGGCGGCGAAGGCGCGCTTCAGAAGAGAGCGAAAGAGCGATCCTCCACCTGCGTGGCGCATTGTATGCTTTTCATATTAACCCGCCCCACGCGCCTTGGTCGCAGGCTCCCTCTGGTCGTTTTGCGATCTCGGCTCGGACTGCGCGGACTGCGGCGATCGCTTTCTGTACCCCAAGCCACCGCCGCCCCCGCACGCCCCGCCGGCGTCGCCCGCGCCGCCAGACGCCCCGCCGCCGCCGCCGCCGGCCCCATCGCCACCGCCGCCAATATCTCCTCCAGCCGCGCCGCCGCTGCCGCCTGAACCGCCCCCGCCGTCGCCGTCGCCGCCCGATCCGCCCTACACCCCGCCGCCGCCGGGACACATCGCGTGTCCCGCACCGCCGCCGCCTCCCAAGACGAGGATCGACGAAACCTGCCCTGCCTGGCCAGGGAAGGAGGCGCTGGTGCCGCGCGACGACTTCGAAGCGCTGCCCCGACTGACGGAGGCGCAGGATGAGACGGGTCAGTACATCCCGCTCTTCGGCGCTGGTGGCATCAACACCCTCGCCAGCGGATGCCCCGTCACGCTCTCCCTCAACGCGCGAGAGTCTGCATATTGCCGGATATGGATTCCCGCCGGCGCGGTGCTGAGGTACGAGTGGGAGGCGAGCCAGCCGTTCGTCGTCTTCTACGACTGGCACGTCGTGCCACACTATGTCTCGGCAACCGTCGACGGCCAGTTCTCCGCCGACTACAACGGGCAACCCCAGACCAAACCCACAACCCCCTAGCCCTGGCCAAACCCCCATACCCCTCCCCTCACCCCCACCCTCGCCCTCATCCTCGCCCTCACCCTAGCCCTCGCCCTCGCCCCCACCCTCGCCGCTAGATATAACTACTTCACGCGCGAGTCGGCGACGGTCTACACGTTCGAGCCCGACCACACCCACGGCCGAGACTTTTACCACACCGCCTCGGAGGGGACCAACGTGTTCTGCGGCGAGGGTGCCCTCTACCCGCGCGACTGTGTGGTTGGGACCGATCCGGCCATCAACGAAGGCTGGGCCTACCTCACGCTCCGCTCGCTCGCAGACGACTACGACGACGCCGAGAGCGGTGAGCTGTGTCGGTAGCTTGTCTACGCCGATCGACTAGCTATGGCAGCTGCCGGTTGGTCATTTGTAGGCGTGCTGACTGCGGAGCTCACCTTTACCGTGCTGCAGCGCACCGAAGGGGGCGGTATTCCGCTGCCACAGCTGCGGGCGCTGCGGGAGCTGTACGAGTCCACCTGCAAGCCATCGCAAGAGCAGCTTCCCCTCTTCGACCTCTCCAAGCCACCGCTGGACGTGAACCGGCACTGGACGAGTGAGCACCACCGGGCGGGCCGCTACTCGTTCGAGCACACCCTCGACCCTGCCGAGACGTACGCCCACCAAGCGCGCTTCAACACCTCGGGCGACGAGCGCAACTACGACACTCTCCCCTATTGCGAGTGGCTCTTCGCCTCGCGGCTTGACTCGAACTCCTCCGACCCGACGGCCGTACTGCCAGGCCCGCCCGGGCTCGACGGCGCAGGCGACTGCCAGCAGCTCGCCGGCGTTACGTGTGATCACAACGGCAACGTCGTCGAACTCGACCTCAACGGCCTCGCCCTCCGCGGCGAGCTGCCCAGCTCGATCGCCGACCTAACCTCCCTTGAGAGGCTG